CTGGCAACTGTTCACTGATCTGCCAAAAACTACTGTGACTGAGCACCTTAGTGACCACAAAGCAACAGCCTAGCAACCACCCAGAACAACCGAAACGGCACAGCTATCTGTCAATACACTCTGAGCACCTTAGTTTCCACACAGAAACAACCTAGCAACCACCCAGAACAACTGAAACTGCACTGCAATCTCCTAACACACTCTGAGCACTTTAGTGACCATCTAGCAACAGCCTAGCAACCACCCAGAACAACCTAGCAACCTACTAAAACTACTTTTGAGCAACTTAGCAACCGCATAGCAACAGCCTAGCAACCACCCAGAACAACCTGGCAACTGGCCATCTGCTAAAACTACTCTGAGCAACATAGCGACCACATAGCAACACCCTAGCAACCACCCAGAACAACTGAAACTGCACAGCTATCTGTCAATACACTCTGAGCTCCTTAGTTTCCACATAGCAACAACCTAGCAACCACCCAGAACAACCTGGCAACTAGCAATCTGCTAAAACTACTCTGAGCAACATAGCGACCACATAGCAACAGCCTAGCAACCACCCAGAACAACCTGGCAACTAGCAATCTGCTAAAACTACTCTGAGCAACATAGCGACCACATAGCAACAGCCTAGCAACCACCCAGAACAACCTGGCAACTAGCAATCTGCTAAAACTACTCTGAGCAACATAGCGACCACATAGCAACAGCCTAGCAACCACCCAGAACAACCTGGCAACTAGCAATCTGCTAAAACTACTCTGAGCAACATAGCGACCACATAGCAACAGCCTAGCAACCACCCAGAACAACCTGGCAACTAGCAATCTGCTAAAACTACTCTGAGCAACATAGCGACCACATAGCAACAGCCTAGCAACCACCCAGAACAACCTGGCAACTAGCAATCTGCTAAAACTACTCTGAGCAACATAGCGACCACATAGCAACAGCCTAGCAACCACCCAGAACAACCTGGCAACTAGCAATCTGCTAAAACTACTCTGAGCAACATAGCGACCACATAGCAACAGCCTAGCAACCACCCAGAACAACCTGGCAACTAGCAATCTGCTAAAACTACTCTGAGCAACATAGCGACCACATAGCAACAGCCTAGCAACCACCCAGAACAACCAAAACTGCACAGCTATCTGTTAATATGCTCTGAGCACATTAGTTACCACATTGCAACAGCCTAGCAACCACCCAGAACAACCAAAACTGCACTGCAATCTCCTAAAACACTCTGAGCCCTTTAGTGACCACCTAGCAACAGCCTAGCAACCATCCAGAACAACCTGGCAACCTGCTAAAACTACTCTGAGCAGCTTAAGGACCTCATAGCAACAGCCTAACAACCACCTAAAAACTGTGATAAAAATGAGCATATGACAGTCAATATTCATGGACTTCACAATCTGTTGAAGGTGAACTCAGACTGCATGTTTGTTTTTTAGGCACCTGTTGTGAACCAATCATTGTTTAAATCGCCAATGAAGAAATGAACAATGTCTTTTAACGCACTAAAGGCAGAAGATACAGTACGTTTGATGAATCTGTGGGTCCTGCTAACGTTCCTATTTAAAACTGAAAGGCTGAAGGCAATGAAAAGGTGCTTTTGTTGTTGTTGGAGAGAGAGACAATAGTCCAGGCGGCTGTGTGTTGCAGTGGTTTGTATGGATTGTCTGTGTGCGCTTGACCTTTTGACTGTGGAAAGCTGCCTTCACTGAAGTCATTGTCAGTAATGCTGTTATTAGAGTGGGTGTTTGACTGACACTGCATGAACTCGCAAACACATACAGGAATAGTTGACCAAATATGTAAATTCTGTCATCATTTATCCAGAGTGTACCTAAATTTAAATTGTAAACGATATAAAACGTAGCTCTTAAATCTCAGTCACATTCACATGCATTCAAACAAGATGCATCAGAACGTGTTGCACCAGATTTGATGTTTGTGTGACATATTTGAACATATTTGAACATTTATGATGAGTAAAATTATTTTCAGCATTCAAAGCTATTGTATTGTATTGTCCTGTATTATAATCAGTGCTGGGTACATTACAGATTACAAAATTAGGTACTTGTAATTAGAGTATACTAAATTTTAAAATGCTCATAATCAGATTACAGTTACTTTTTTATGGATTACATGATTACATATTATTCAAACCTGGAAGACTTTTTGCATGTAATGTCATTGCTGTTTTCATATTTATTGATGTTTGTTCAGATAATGCAAATGTTTTTTGTCAGCCAAACCCCTTAGACATAAAACATTTACTTGAAATATCTCAGAGGAAGTTAATATTTCAATAATTTTACAACACATTTTCATGTGTACAGTTCTCGGACGTTGGTCAATGGTCACATTAACATGCAGGTAAACAAATAATACATTTCTATTTTCAGTGTTCGACTGTTTAAATTATTTTTATTAAAAAATGTTATGATTTAATTATTAGCTAACTCGCAGACCCACCTAAAAGTAATCTAAAAAAAGTAGTCAGAAAACACCTAAAATGAGTAATTTCGTTTCTAAGTACAATTTTCATCATGTAATCAGTAACGGATTACATTTGTAAGTAATCGACCCAGCACTGATTATAATGCACAAACTCCTTTTATAGTGCTTTTTGAGCTCGACTGCCCATTCACTCAAATATAGCAGGCAAGATTTATTGTGAACTATTTCTTTAAAGTTTCAACGTCGCAGTCTCAATAAGAACTACGCCTCAAGAGTTGAAGTTCTGCAGTACCTTTCTCTCAATGATTTCGGCTGCGAGATGCTTCGCCTGCTGGAAGCTGAGGTGTCCCTCTGGGATCCGTACGTCCTCTTTGAGGAGCCCGATCTGAAAGTGGACACGTATGGGCCCCTGTGCAGAGGATTGGGGCCCCATGGACAGCTGAGAGAAAGAACCTGAGAGAAAGAGAGCGTTAACTCAGATCAAACGGCACTCCTTTAGACATTCACAGGTTCAACACAACTTACCTGCACCCATCCTGATGTTTCTCGAAGCGTCTTGTAATCGTACAACTGTTCTATAGCATTACTGCAATAATTGTTCCACTGATTGGTTTATTATTATGCACATATCATCATCATTAAGTCTTTAAAGGCTTTGGTGTTTGAAGGACCCCAAAGGCTCCTTCAAGTGCAAGGCAACAACTGAAACTAGCATTAACCTGCCTAGATTAACATTAAGATTAAAGCTTAATATAGTCAAGCTCCGAAAGAGGAACTTACCAGAGACATGACTGATGTCAACGCTTTTTGGGCGGTGGTTTGAGTTGGCAGCCATTTTCTTCATATTGGTGTGTTCGAACTAGCACATTTCGCAGCCCCGTTTCAGACACTTCTGCCGCTGCTCTGGTTTCCTTGTGTGAGAGCTTCAGCAGACGAACGACAGGCAGCTGAGACAGGAAGTTGATGCTCAAACTTCAGCGTTTCTGTATGTGACGTGTGGGTCTGACGTGCTGCCCACCAAACACATCAAACATCATCTGATGAACTTTAAAACTGTAGGAAACTCAAGGCAAATATGGCAGCACTGGGGTCAACATCTCTTTAGCCTACACAAGGAGTACTTTCAGTTTTATTTTGTGCAAATATGTATTGAATCACTGAACTTTGTCTTGTGCTACAGAGATCCAACTCCAAACCCTGATATTAACCAAAAAACGCTCTGAGCTGCAGAACTAATAACTTTTGAACAATTAGGGAGTTTTCTCTTCTGGATGGACGGAGAAACAGACACACAGAATGGTAGGTAGGTAGGTAGATAAATAGAACGATAGATAGAACGATAGGTAGATAGATAGAACGGTAGATAGAACGATATAGATAGGTAGGTAGGTAGGTAGGTAGATAGAGATAGATAGATCGATATAGATAGAACAGTAGGTAGATAGAGATAGATAGATCTATATAGATAGAACAGTAGGTAGACAGAGGTAGGTAGATAGAGATAGATAGATAGATAGATAGATAGATAGATAGATAGATCGATATAGATAGATCAGTAGGTAGATAGATATAGAACGGTAGATAGAACGATGTAGGTAGGTAGATAGATAGATAGGAAGGTAGACAGATAGAACGATATAGATAGATATAGATAGATAGATAGATAGAACGGTAGGTAGGTAGATAGACAGACAGATGGATAGGTATAGATAGATAGATAGAACGATAGGTAGACAGACAGACAGACCAACAGATAAATAATGATAGACAGACAGAGACTGACAGATAGACAGAACGATAGACAGACAGATATTTTCTTCGGCTGTTAAGCCGACATAATTAAGACACATGAAAACATTACTTTGGTTTGAAAAGCAGAGTTTATTCCGAACCGTTTATTAAAGCATACATGAGGCTGGCTCCTTCACAACTGAAGCATATCTGAGGAACAGAGCTGCTAGACGCTTCCCTTCACAGCTGATCTGGGGACGCGACAGGCTCCTTCTAACAACGCTACGATTTCTGACTAGGACAGGGGGCGCTGTTCCCAGATCAGTGCAGAAGGGCAGCCTGTGTAACTGCAGCACAATCTAATGTGGCGAGAGGAAGGCATCACAAATCATCAGAAATCATGACAAACACAGCCAGAGGTGGGTTCACATTCATAAGTGGTGTAAACACGGCATTAATAAACTACACACCTGTCTGTGCTAGAAGCATGAGGAGGATAACTTACACAAGTGTGTTTTTGTGGTCGTGAGTCAAAAAAATCAGTATTTTACAATCAATAATGACATTAATATCTATCGCTCCAATTCCTTGCTCCAACTTCATAAATTTCATCACTTTGTTTTCTCACTTTCTAGAACCCTTATCTTTGTTCAGCTTAATGAAACGTAATCATCAGTATGAACGCATTGGTGACTTTTTGCAATACATTCTATTCGACAAAATCTCACAAAATGGGTTTTTAATGTATAGCTATAGATAGAGGGGGGTATATATATATATGCATACCCCTCTCTCCATAGCTATATATATATATGTAATTTGAAATTGGAGAACAAATGTGCTTTAATGTGGCAATGCAAAGAAAAAAATGAATGGTCCTATTTTCTTTATGGAAAATGCATAATTGCATATGATTTGAGGTGAAATATGACTCATTTATGAGATTCGCCCATTTGTATGGCTGGTTCCCAAAGCTAGTGTCGACTGTGCGATCACTCGCCTCTGATGAACACAAGCAAAATCATTCAAATAAACCCAAAATCAAACACACACATCCTTAATCAGTGAAAAAGGGTAACAGAGTCACAGAAAGTCGCAAACATTTACATACAAGTACACTGAAGACATGTGCTGTCCGTTAGGATATGCAATTCATCAACATGAAAAGATAAAACGAAAAAAAGACGATTTGTCTGTTTTAGCCACATCTTGGTATTCTAGTGGCTAGAAAATCATATAAAATTAAAAACACGTCACATTTTAAACTGATGGAAATTTCCAGTTACGTACGTTTGGCCTTTTCCAGCAACTCGTCCGATTTTTGACAGACAGAGCTGGAGTTTGACTTGCAATCAGATAAAATGACTAAACGTTCGAATTATGAATCTAGATTCACTAATAAATAAGAGCTCTAGCTCAAATCAGCTTTAAATCGTAAAGCAGAATCCTTCGTTGTAGCGTTCAACGCGATTTCCAGCCGCTCCAGGACAGACGTCCAGCTACAGTGTAAACGAAATCCTTGTGCGCTAATTTTGCGAAACAAAAAGACCTTAAATAATTTAAATCACTATATACATCAAACTCAGAAGGCAAAGGTGAGGTCGTACCAGTCGGTGCTCTCGAATTTCAACTCATCTTCTACACTCGTATTTTTCTTAAGTGCATTCGCAGGAGTTTTTCGCACCATTTCAACTTGGTGAGTTCGTTGTTAGCATTCACAGCATCTGTGCATCTACCATATATGAACGTTCGGTTTTCTAAATGGCAAACGTATGCTTTGATAACTTGATCGTTGTGTGCTAAACTACGCGACTTTGTCGCCATGCTATGATGTGATTTCAGCACTGAGTCTGTAGTCTAGGAGGTGATAGCGTGCTACATAGCGTTTGATCTCGCTAATGGTGAAGCAGAGAGGCAAAGCCCAGATTTTTGCAAGCGATGTGAAACTAAAAGACATGTTTTTGCTGTTAAGATTTTTTTCTTAGGAAAACGTTTTGAATAAGGATCGTTTGATGAGATTTTCAATTCAAGTAGGTAGCAAACAGCCTCTTCGTTTGGCTCCTTTTCCACGTCCAGACGTCTTTTTTTTAGCTGATCAGAGAGCTGCGTCTGGTCAGGTCCACATTACTAGCGCTCAGTCCTCTGGATTCTGACAGGCCGCTGTTAGACTCCTGAAGACACACACACATGAATATTTGCATCACGTAACATAATACAGTGGAAATGCACATCAATTTTAAAGACCATGTTAAAATTCACTTCAAATTCCATTCAAAATAAGCATAAAATGAAAAGCTTAATCTTACTGTGATTTGTACAGGTTATTCTAAATCTCATTATTTTAAAGTAAATATATTTGATCAAAAATACAGTAAAATTGTGAAATATTTTTACTATTTAAAATAGCTGTTTTCTATGTGAATATATTGTAAACTGTAATTTATTTCTGTGTTCAAAGCTGTATTTTCAGCATCATTCCTCCAGTCTTCAGTGTCACATGATCCTTCAGAAATCATAATAATATTCTGATTTGCTGCTCAAGAAACATTTCTGATTATACACACCTGTGAGGTTTCTTCTGCGCTCTTGTTGAGGAAATTTAAGGAGCTCGCCCTCTTCATCCTTTTGAACCAAACACAAGCACCAGTTGAAGAATGATCTCTAGTCAGTTAGTTTGTTCTTGGGAGAAGACTGAGGGTGCTGTGTTGTGCTCGAGTCTCACCCGGGGTTGCGTGGCTCCTGAGGGCCGCTGCCCTGCAGCTTCTTCACCAGCATCTCACTGCTGCGGCGCAGCGCTTCACGAATCTTCCCGAACGAGCCGCTCCTGCGCAGGGCGCCGTTACCATCCTGCGCCCACAATATATGATCAACCTCAAGATTTATACACACACTACCAGATAAATAAATAAATTATATTTTTTGAAAAATCTCTTATGCTCACAAAGGCTGCATTTATTTGATCAAAAAAGACCATGTTAAAATTCACTTCAAATTCGATTCAAAATAAGCATAAAATGAAAAGATTAATCTTACTGTGATTTGTACAGGTTATTCTAAATCTCATTATTTTAAAGTAAATATATTTGAAAAAAAAATACAGTAAAAAAACGTTTATTAAATAAATAAATAAATATTATTACAAATTAAAATAACTGTTTTCTGTTTGAATATATTTTAAACTGTAATTTATTCCTGTGATGCAATTCCTCCAGTCTTCAGTGTCACATGATCCTTCAGAAATCATAATAATATGCTGATTTGCCGCTCAAGAAACATTTCTGATTATTATCAATGTTGAAAACTGATAATGTGCTGCTTCATATTTTTGTGGAAACTGATACACTACCGTTCAAATGTTTGGGGTAAGTAAAAAAATAAAAAAAGATTAAAAAGAATACTTTTATTCAGCAAGCATGCATTAAATTAATCATAAAGTGACAGAAAACACATTTATAATCTTACAAATTATTTTTATTTCCAATAAATGCTGTTCTTTCGAACTTTCTATTCATCAAAGAATCCTTCATAATCTATCGCAGTTTCCACAAAAATATGAAGCAGCACAACTGGTGAGCCGGCAAGCCGTTTCAAACTCCCAAAACTAACAAAACAAACTTCGTTTTGGCATGATTTTGTTCGAAATGATGTCACATCAGTTCATTCGATATCGTTTGAAGTATATCGGGGCCTTTATTTTAAATTGTAATAATATTTCACAATATTACTGTTTTTACTGTATTTTTGATCAAATAAATGCAGCCTTGATGAGCAGAAGAGACTTCTTTCTGAAACATTGCAACAATTATTCTAAACTTTTATATAAATATAAACTACATAAGTGACTCTGGAGCACAAAAGCAGTCTTAAGTCGCTGGGGTATATTTGTAGCAATAGCCAACAATACATTGTATGGGTCAAAATGATTGATTTTTCTTTTATGCCAAAAATCATTAGGATATTAAGTAAAGATCATGTTCCATGAAGATATTTTGTAAATTTCCTACTGTAAATATATTAAAACGTAATTTTTGATTAGTAATATGCATTGTAAAGAACTTAATTTGGACAACTTTAAAGATGATTTTCTCAATATTTAGATTTTTTTGCACTCTCAGATTCCAGATTTTCAAATAGTTGTATCTCGACCAAATACTGTCCTATCCTAACAAACCATACATCAATGGGAAGCTTATTTATTCAGCTTTCAGATGATGTATGAATCTCAATTTCACAAAATTGATCCTTATGACTGGTTTTGTGCTCCAGGGTCACATATAAATAAAAACAAAGGCTCTGCGGGCTCCACTGACCCCGCTCCACTCGGCTTCGTCTCCTTCACAGTCTCCTCGGGGGCCTCCGGGGCCGTTTACTCCGTCCCGACTCTGACGTCTGTCTCCTCCGGCACAACCTCCGTCCTTCAGCAGCTCCACCACCTTACTCTGATTTATCGCATCGATGCCCTGACAAGCAGAACGAGTCAATTTCACCAGCTTTCACAATGTTGTGGTGTTATTTCTAGAGTTGTCAGTCAATTAAAATAAGCAATAAATTCATTTTAGTTTGAATTTAAAGGGATACTCCACCCCAAAATGAAAACTTTAATCACTTACCCCCATGTCGTTTCAAACCCGTAAAAGCCTCGTTCGTCTTCGGAACACAATTTAAGATATTTTGGATGAAAACCGGGAGGCTTGTGACTGTCCCATTT